TCCACAAATTTACCACTGTATTTTAGTTCCACCTTGCTTCTCAGATGTCCCACCTTGAGTTACTTTCCTCCTCCAGACTTATGCCTTCTATACCCTCCTGTAGAATTGCCTTTAATGCAGGTCTGCTGGTGGCGACACTCAGTTTGGGTTGGAAAATACCCTTATTTGACTTCACTTCTGAAAGGGATTTTTTCTGGTAATAAAATCCTAGGTCATCCAGGCTTTGCTTGTATCCAGCGCTCTGAAGCTACCATCTAAGGGACCACAGCACCCCTGTTAAGAGCCTGCTGCCGCTGAACTCCTCCGAAGGGAAGTGTCCCCGTCGGGCCAGCACAAACCATGTATCGTTTGTTCGGTTGGGGAAGACTCTCAGCTATCCTATCTCTAACCACTCCTTTTGATTTAAATATATCCCTATGCTGATTCTTGTCTCCAATCTAGTGTTACCTCAACCTTTGAACACTCTGTGTCATCCCGAACTAGTTTTGCTTCTGACCTATTTCAGTTCACTATTTCACAATTCAGCTGTATCTAATCTGTAGTTAAGCCCATCCACTGAGTTTGTATTTTTCAGTTCTAAAAATTCTATTTCTTCCTTTTCAAACCCACTATTGTCACGTTTTAGAGTTCCCTGAAGACAATTTGGAGCTTGTCTTTTCTTTCTTTAAGCACACAGCCACCAGCTGTTGTATAGTCTTTGTCTGAGAATTTTGGGTTCTGTGGGTCCTTTTAATCAACAGCTTCAGGGATCTGGAAATGCCCTTCAACTATTAATGCCTACCTTTCCATTTTCTTTAATCTCTCTGTGATTCCTGACGATCTGAGGCTGCACCTCTTGGATGGGTCTTCCATCTGTTATCTTTTCTCTCCATTCCCAACTGTTTGTTTCCTGATGTTCTAGGTGAATCCACAAATTTCTCTTTCAGCCCTTCAACTGATGTTTTTTGAAAATTCTGGTAATCGTTTTTAATTTTTCTTATTTAGTGATTACACTTTTTTTGCCATGGCATTTTATTCTTTTAAACTCTCCTTGGGAGGTCCCGGATGGCCTAGTGGGTTAGGATTCCGGGCTTTCACTGCCAAGGGCCTGGGTTCAATCCCTGGTTGGGGAGCTGAGATCTCGCAAGCCGCCTGGCACGGCCAAAAAGCTCTCCTCAATTCCCTGTGTAATCTCAGTTTCCTTTGAAGTGAGTTTCTCTGCTCATCTAAGTCCCCTCCATTGCAATTTCCCCCCTACACCCAATGCTCCTTGCTGTTGGTCACATCTAGCCGCCTCTTCTTACTTTAGGATGAAGACTGGGTATTTGGTGTGCGCTGTAGCAGGGGACTGCTCTGTCCTGGTGCCTCCCTGAGCAGACACATCGCTGACTGATGACCAGGACTCCATCTGTGTAGGTGAGTTATGTGAATAGTTGGCTTCACTTTAGGATACAGGACCCCCCAAAACCAGGATAAGGAAGGCTTGCCTTTTGCAGATACCACTAGTCACCGCAAACCCTTAGCTCTCCCCAAAAGAGTTTGCTAAATTTCTTTAGTGACGTAGGTTGACACCCGGTTTCTCTCCCATCACCCAAGCCGGGTAAGCTCGAGCTTTCTAGGCGATAGTAAAAGCAAAGAGCAATCTAAGCTTCAAGTTGTAACCACCAGTCTAAGTCTAAGCCAACTGGACAGTTCACTAGGAAAATAAGCTTCTGCTGTTTCCTGCATCACAGTTCCTTCCAGGCATGGTTGCCAATAAGCAGAACAAGCAAGACAAAATGGATAAGCCACTCTGGGTTTATTATCTGCACTGCCTTCAACAGGATAGGAGAACAACACATATGCACCATACCTAGAAGCTCACTGAGCAGAGGTTCAACCCAACCTTTTTCTACATCAATAAAAATCTTTTCTTCATGACCTCACCTTTGCCTGAGGTACAACCCTTTCCTAACTCAGACTCACCCCCATTGTAGGAGCTAGTTCAACAGCCGCTCTGCTGCTAGTTAATAATTCCTCTTTTGTATGTGGCATTATCTCTATTATGACAGCAGCGTGGGAAGGGCTCCCCCTCACTGAGGCAACCAGAGGGCAAGTGCACTGAAGCCCCAGAGGCCCTTCTGTCACCTTTAGCCTAACTCCAAGGTGTCCTTGGCTCCAAGATGTCCTTGGCCCCTGTGTGGAGTAGCCCAGACCGAAACACCCTGGGTTTCCTTCTCCTTATTTTGCCTATTTTTCTACCAGGTCTTGGTACCTACCGCCTATACACACTTCCCTGAATTCATATATTCCGTCTCTGATGAATCCATGCCCCTCTTCCCACGTTACAGATTTCCTCTCCAAGCAAACACTGCCCCTCCCAAGAGCGCCAACACGCTCAACACTCCCCCACCTCCACCCTCCTCATTCCTCTATTCCTTACCCCATCTGTCAACTCGGAGTCCAAAGCCTCTCAGCAAAAAGCTGGCACCAAGTCTTTCCCTCCTGGAGCGTAAGAACCTGACAATCGGCTTTTCTGACTGTGGTGTAAGTGCTTGACATTAAGCTTTTGATCTGAGGCTTCCATTTCAAAGACATGCTTCTCGAATAAACATACTGCCGGCCACACAACTAGACAAAGAGCCAGGCCGTCTTACCCATAAGGTTCCCCTTTTAGAAAGCTCTGGGTGCCCTAGGTACTGACCGCTTCAGTGGCCCCCTTCCTGCACCCAAATTCCTGCTTTCGCCAGTAAAGAGTGAACCCGTGAAACCCTAGGCACTTCACCCTTGACCCCAAAAAGGGCAGAATCTCAGGTCTGTGCTGTCTCTCTCTCTACCCTCGACCTTGTTGTGTGGCCCCAGGTGTACCGTGAACCCTCCAGGACCTGTGAGGAATGAAACTTGTTTCTTCAGTGTTTCCTGATGGTGCTGCTGGGGTGCATCTCACAATCAGAACAAGAACGGTAAGGGCCGGCCCAGCCAAAACAACACTTGGGTGGGGCTGGGGTGGGAGGGGGTAGCTCGCCACAAGTAGGATGGCCCAGGTGAGTGCTTCAGGCATTTCTATCAGACAGCATCACTACTGACAGGCTGAGACTAGCAGGAAACACCTCCCAGTCCAGTGCCTTCCGAGCCACTACACTCCTGACCCAGTTTCCACTTAAAAGAGATTTGGTGACCTGTTTGTTTCTTCCATGACCACATCTCCCATTGCCTTCACTCCCATTGCCAATTAGTGGCTTCCTTCAGAAATTTTTTATACCTTTTATACTCACCTCTAGGGGGCTATTAGGATATGTGGTTATGACGCATCCATAAAAAAAAAAAATGAGCCACAGGAGTGGGTATTCGAGGAAAATAAAATCATAAAGATGAATATGACTTCAAAAAAATTTCCTTCCTCTACTGGAACAGAGAAATAAAGTACAGACCTGGCCCAGGCAGCATGCAATAGTACAGTCAAAACACTGGGTTCCTGTACTTCTTATCATCCACATTTACTGATACAACAAGCTAAGCACTTTGTACGCACTAACTCATTTATTCCCCCACATCAACCACCTTGAGCTGAAAGCCCCACCATTTAAAAAATTACTTCCTCTCTATTACAAAAGTCATATGCATTCATAACAGAACACTTGGAAAGCAGAGAAAACACAAGAAAATTTACATTACATTACTCATTATGATAGTTAAGTTTATGCGCCAACTTGGCTAGTCTATGGTGCCCAGTTGTTTGGTCAAATACTCGTTAGATGTTTCTGTGAAGGTATTTTGTATACGTGACTAACATCTCAGTCAGTTGACTTTAAGGGAGATTATCCTTGATAACGTGGGCAGGCCTCATCCCATTAGTTGAAGACCTTATGAGCAAAAACTGAGGTTTCCCAAAGAAGAAAGAATTCTGCCTCAACACTATAACATAGTCTCAGGTTCCAGCCTGAGTCCCCAGCCAGCTGGGCTGCCCTATGGAGCCTGGATTTGCCAGCCCTCACAACTGCATGAGCCGCTACTTAAAATAAATCTCTCTCGTTGTCTCCAAATACATATATACATATCCTATACATATCCTATTGGCTGTTTCTTTGGAGAACACTGACTGCTGATACACCTATAATTTCACCTGCCAAAGATAATTTCTATTACTATTTTTCCATTCTTCCAATCCTTTCTCTATGTACGTATGGAATATAAGTAATTTTATATACATATATGTAATTATACAGACACAGACAGACATACACACACAAGAGTGATGAACTCGTCCCAGTCATCTTCGTTAACACGAGAAGTCCCGCATCCTGGGAAACCGCTCAGTCCCAGGCAAACTGGGATGGTTGGTCAGCTTAATACACACACACACACACACACACACACACACACACACACACACATACACTCCCCTTTTTTTTTTTTTGTGGTACGCGGGCCTCTCACTATTGTGGCCTCTCCCGTTGCAAAGCACAGGCTCCGTACACGCAGGATCCGGACGCGCAGGCTCAGCGGCCATGGCTCATGGGCCCAGCCGCTCCGCAGCATGTGGGATCTTCCCGGACCGGGGCTCGAACCTGTGTCCCCTGCATCAGCAGGCGGACTCTCAACCACTGCGCCTCCAGGGAAGCCCCCCTTTTTTCTTTTTAAATAAAATTGCAATCATTCTGTACATACTGTTTTGTAACCTAATCTCTTCACTTACAAATATATTGTGGCTATTTTCCAATGTCAAAAATATTCTTCTGTGACATCATGTTTAATGGCTGCACTGTATTTCCTTTTATGGTTCTATCCTTTCATTTCACCTCTGAAAACAAGAGCGGCTGGAACAGTAGGGGAAAAAATCATACACATACACACAAACTGTAGACCACAGCCCTCAAGGACGGCCTTGTTCTACTTTAATAAAAGATTTACCATTCTTAGTCTTGGACTCCTGTGCTGGTGTAGCGAAATGACTCAAAAAAAGAGGGAGCACCCTCTCTCTACCTGCTTGTAACAACATGCATGGTGACACATTAATGCTTGAAAAGACACCGAGTCCTTACCTTTTTAATTCATTTACAATTGAAGTGTGCACTTCTATTGCAACTTTGCTGTCCAACTGTAGTTTTAGTTCCTGGCATTCCGTCCGCAAAATTTCCAATTGCTCCTTACTTTTAGTTAGCTCCTTTTCTTGGCTCTGTGTTTTAGTCTCCAGAAGCATTAGCTGTTTAGTCAGTTTAGAAACTGAAACACAAAATAGATGGATAAAGACTTGGTACAGAAGAGCTAATAAAGCATGATTACTGATTATTAATACTAGTGAGAGCTTATAAAAGATGATCTTTGGGCTTCCCGGGTGGCGCAGTGGTTGGGAGTCCGCCTGCCGATGCAGGGGACACGGGTTCGTGCCCCGGTCCAGGAGGATCCCACATGCCTCGGAGTGGCTGGGCCCGTGAGCCATGGCCGCTGAGCCTGCGCGTCCGGAGCCTGTGCTCCACAACGGGAGAGGCCACAACAGTGAGAGGCCCGCGTACCGCAAAAAAAAAAAAAAAAAAAAAAAAGATGATCTTAAAAAAAATGTGCTGGCGATTTAGAAATTAATACCAAAGCCTTTGTACTTAGCAATTACTGTCCCTATATTAAGTAGTCACTCAATATACACTTTCTTACTGGGGATCGATACACTGATATTATTGTTAAACATATAATATTTAACAAGACATGATTCCAGTCTTCAAGGAACTGACTTTCTAAAGACTGAAGCCTTAAGTCACACACAGATGTACAAGCGTACATCATGATGTCGTCCCTAAAACTGCAAGATTTTCAAGATTTTAAGGACATCAAGTATGGCCCAACTAAGGGCAGAATTTGTTTTTCTTCCCTTTCTTCATTAACTTTTTATGTTTAGTGTCCTACATCTAAAGTAAATCATAAATATTTTCATCCTAAGTGACATGGAAGTATTGTCATATTAAGACACTTCCTGGGCATCTGCTGAAACTAGCACTCAGAAGTATTACAGCATAGAACTCTAAATCCTTCTGTTCTGTGAAAACATTTAGTTGATCGAAATGAATAGCTGTTTCTGGGAAATGGGAAAATAACATGGGCAGCTGACTGAATCACACAGGCCAAAATAATCATCCTACCTGTTTAGATCTGCTGTGTTTGAGAGTCAGCTCAGTAAATATGAAATTAATTTCCCTGTCGTCTCTGATCTTTGAGGCTTTGTCTCCCCTCCACCCCAAGCAATGCCAGGACAAAGGCAGCTACTCCTGTGCCTGCTCAGTCTATGGGGAGGAAACTCCTGCTGGATTGAGAGCTGCTCTCACTGCGGACCCGGTCTGGCCGGCAGACACAAGCCAAGCGCCAGCCCCGCAGCTTCAGCTACAGCAGGGGCTGGTAGCGGACTCTTCCGTGGTGTGGAAAGGGGAGCCGCTGAATAACAGGTGCAGGAGGGGAAACAGAAAGGACTCATGCTGGCTCACAGAAGACAGCTTGTATCTTGGCCTCCTGTCCTACATTGTTCCTCACCAGAAAAGAAAAATCAGTAAAGCCAAAGAAAAAAAAAATACCACTCTCTTTTGTGCTCATAAGTTTTGGGTTTAATCGAAGTGGAATAAATGACTCAGTCTGGCCACTACAAAGTCCACTGTCATACGCTGTGAGGCTCCTGGGATGGGGCGGCAGGGCGGGGCGGGGGGTGGGCGGGACACGTGGGGAGAGGAGGCGCTCACAGAAAGGATCTGACGGAGATTTAAGCTACGGCAGCGCCTGCAGCGCTGAAGGAAGGGCGAGAGCACAGAGAAACTGTTTAGAGAGTCAATGGTTCCTACTCATTTACTCATTCAACAAATTTTGGGGAACGTGTCCTCGTGTTGTTTCAAATATTCATCTCACACGATTTTTCCCAGTTACGTGGCACACTGTTTTCCCCAAAACTCAGTTCTGCTCACTCTAAAGCTGTCATCCACAATTGATTTACAAAAGAGAGTAACTCGACACCGTAGAGTCTAAGAGAAAGCAGTCAGCGCCTCACGGGTGATGGCTGGATATGCTATAACATAAACAGCTGCCCTTCAGTGAAGAACATGTTCTAAAAAACATGACTTCCAGTGTCTTCAACTGGCGTTGGGGGTGGCAGCAGTGTAAAATGACACAATGGCGACGTCACAGCATCACCACCACTCGTGGGAAGGACCGCTCACCTTCCTGGAGACGCTCCTGGTGCGTGTCCTTGGCTTTTGTTTGCTGAATCTCCAACTGCTCTATCAACAACTTGTTTTCCTCTAAAACCAGTTCTGCTTGAGTCTGAAGCTGACGCCTACAATTGATTTACAAAATTAAATACTGACATTCAGGTGCAGAATGATTACAGAGACACTCCTGAGTCTAAAAGAAAGCATCAAATGTGTTGTAGGTAATGACATGTTTTAATGCTAAACATGTTATTAACATAGTAAGTCTTGCCATTTCCATTAAATTGAGGGAAAGGACAGAAAGGAAGTGTGAATTACGAACTGCTTTAGTAACTTGTTAAAATGTAAAATTTCAAACATATACAAAAGTAGAAAGAAGAGAATAGAAACTCCCATGTACAAAACGCCCCGCTTGAACCCCCCCAGGTTGAATTTCACCTGCGCAAACCGTATCCTGACAGTTGGTGCAAAGTAAATCCCAGCTCAGCTCAACCTCATGATCGCAAAATCCAGTGAGAATGAGCTAAAGGGATCTTAGAAATCATCTAGTTAAATGTTTACCACCCGAGGTACATGGTAAACCAGTAAATTATCTCAATTTTCCACTTTAGACTCAAAAAAGTGAGGTGCAGGAAGGAGGGAGAAAAGATGAAAGGAGTCCAGCTCTAGTGATTACCTCCCTCAACAGAGGCTGCGCACTAGCTCCTTGGCACCTGGAGGCGTCCCTACCAGCTGCCCGGCCTGTGGGGCGACAAGGCCCCACGCTGTCCCGCAGGGGAGCTCCCCTAGGCGGGCCTTTCCAGCCTCCTCATGCCTGCCTCAAACAGAGCAGCTCCACTCTGGACTTTCTTATCAGACTTCCTCCCTCCCTCCCTTCCTCCTTTTCTTTCTTTTTTAAATGAAAGGGATCTCCCATTCCTAAAAAAAAAAGGTCAAAACCTCAAATTTAGTTTAATTCTCCTTCCCATTTTATAGGTAAAGAAACCGAGGTCCATTAAGCACGAGGTTACCCAGCTGGTCAGAGGCAGTTAGGGAAAGAAATGTAGAGTTTAGCTGCAGCCCAGAAGTTCATCGAGAAATTATCTGAAACTAAGGAGAACCGGGACGCAGTGCACCTCACGCCTGCGCAGGCACAGGGAGCAGCGGCCTAGGCGGGGCAGGCGAGGGCACGACTGGGACGGGCTTCGGGGTGGCAGGAGATCTGCCTACAGGGTGTGAGGCCCCGGTCCTGCCCCAGCTGGAGGACAGTGAATTCAGAGTAGGGGGAGGCCAGCCGCAGGGCCTCAACAGGCCCCGAGCAGAACTGACAGCTTTCTGCAGCCCAACCCTGTGCCACAGGTCACCAGGCTAGAGCAGGATGCATATTTTGAAGTCTTATAAACAGGACTGGGGAAGACAGTGGGCATGTGGATTTCAAAGTGGGGTCTGCCTTTCTTTTCTTTATTTTATTTATTTATTTGTTTTTACTGTAACGAGAAGTAAACAGGTTTGACTTACAACTATACACAAGGTTAGAGAAAGAATCTGAGGGTTTGGGAGAGGAAGCCTGGAAGCAGCCCAGCTGACCTGCTTTCTAGGGCACTATTCAAGGAGGGTTTGAGGGGAGACACACAAGGAATCCTGACAGAAGAAAATCAAATTTCAACAGGGGAAGCCACAGTACAACAGGATCCAGTAGCTGCCCAACCAGTCCCAACTGACACATCAGTGGCCATAAAATCTGTAAAGTAAAATCAGTAAGAATGCTGTTGACTCAATTCCAAATTTCTATATATCACATACGGGAAATATTTAATTTTTTTCAGTGATGTTAAGACATTAAAAAAATATTAACTATAACATATCTACCCAAGGCAAAAAAGATATACCTGAATAGCTTTTGCTTTCTTGGTCCTGCTTGGGTATTGCCTTTAGACTCTTGATGACATTTACTTTCTCAAGTGCACTGAACGGGCATCTGTTGCTGCCGTGCTAGATGAACAGGACATGGCCCTGCCCTTGAGATGCTCCCAAAGGAGAAGAGGGAGACAGGTGTGAAGACACATAGGTAGGCCCAGCATGGCAGGTACAAGGACAGGGCGTGTGTTTAGGGCCAAATCAGAAACTGAGACAAAGGAACAATTCCCTCTGCCTTCAGGGAGAGCTACTGACTAGCACCATTTGAGCAGGGCCCTAACGGAGGTACAGGAGGGCAGGAAGGGGTGTTCCGGGGGGAGGGAAGAGCATCAACAATAGGCTGGAAGTGAGGCAGCGCTCAGCTGTCTGGGAGTGGAAGGGGCGGGGCAAGCAGGAGCTGGGAGTGCAGGGCCTCATCCTGGACTGTCTGTCCTAAAGCCCTGGGAGCCATCAGAGGGGTCTAAGAAAGGATGCGACTCAACAGGTTCGGGATGGGAAAAGTGCCCTAGAAAAATACAACCCCAGAAGATAAAAATGGAGACAGCAGGGCTTCCCTGGTGGCGCAGTGGTTGAGAGTCCACCTGCCGATGCAGGGGGCACGGGTTCGTGCCCCGGTCCGGGAAGATCCCACGTGCCACGGAGCGGCTGGGCCCGTGAGCCATGGCCGCTGGGCCTGCACGTCCGGAGCCTGTGCTCCGCAACAGGAGAGGCCGCAGCAGTGAGAGACCCGTGTAGTGCAAAAAAAAAAAAAAAAAAAAAAAATGGAGAAAAAAAAAATATATATATGTGTGTGTGTATATATATATATATATATATAAACCTATTTAGAAGTTTTAAAGTAGCCTTTAAAATACAAGTTTAGAATAATTTACTAGTTTTCACTACACCTTATTAGTTTCTTAGAAACTCTCCATTAAAATGTTTTAGTTAAAATATATATATATTTGACAATTTAATAAAGTTTATTCCTATTATCTTTTCTTTTTCTTAATTAGCAAAATACCAGAAACACAACACCACTTGCCATTCCTCACTGGTGACAAGACTATTCTTATTCAGCTCTTGGTGCAGTTCTTCATTTTCTTTCACCACTTCTTGGACTCTCATCTTAAACGTTCTCATTTCCTCCTGAAACAAAATTTGTGTAAACTGTAACACACACATACGTTCATCTCTATATTTCTTAGTTCTAATGCTGTCGCTGTGGCTAAAATCAAATGTTAATGGCGTTTAAGCAAAGTCTCATAGTACCAGCAGCCTTAAACTTGGTACCAGCACCAAGTGCCTGCCCTCGAGGGGCTCACGGTCTAGCGAGAAAACACAAGAGACACATACCATGCAGAGAACAAAGGACAAAAGCACCTCAAGTTAGTTCGATTCCTAACTTGATAACATTGTTCTATAACTGCCAAATATTTGAAAAGATAAAAAGGGGAATAAAAAAGGCAGAGATGGGCTTCCCTGCCTTCTCACTGGGCTTCCCAGTAAGAGGCCCACATAGCGCAAAAAAAAAGAAAAAAAGAAAAAAAAAAAAGGCAGAGATGCCTATAAATGCCATAGTTTTTTCTTTGTTTAAAGACTTTGGAGGATAAATTGGAGCTTTTTAGATAAAAATAAGAATTTTTCATCCTAATTGAAGCCCATTTCGGTAGGGAAGGGCTTAGTGCAGGGGTTGGAGTCTCATAATTTTGCCCCATTACAATCACGAGAAAGCCTCCCTTACTTAAAGCCATCAGTCAGTCCAGCTTCATCACTCATTGGCCCCCACACGAGGACTGTTGCTTGGTCTGTTTTCGACTGCTAACAGTCTGTGTTTGTGGCACTCACGCTGGGTGGTCTCCGTCATGGCTTTTCTCAGCTAGCCCTTGGCCAGCTTCAGTATTGTGTGTTGTCTTCTGGTGAGAATCTTAGGTGCTAATATTTATTCTGGGACGCTTCTAAATATTCTTCTCCCAGCTAGCAGACATTTATACTTATAAAAAGCAACAATGCCAAGCAACTTCTCTTTCTCTCACCTTTCTGCCCAAACGCACTCCCTAATTGCTAGCAGTGCACTGGCCCTCTTAGAGAACACGGGTGGGGCAAACTACAGCCCACAGGCCAGGGGCCTCTTTGGTTGACAGCATAATGGAACATAGCCACGCCCATTCATCACACCTGCTCTGCAGCTGCTTTCACGCTACAGTAGCAGAGCTGAGTAGCTGCAAAGAGAGACTCCATGGCCCCCAAAGCCTAAAATTGATACTAAGTAAATGTTTACAGAAAATGTTTCCGGAACCCTATTTTAGAAGGAGCACTAAATAAGTATTTTTATTATTTGGATTGATACTTAACCAATTATACAAGATTAATTCACCCTCTTAAATATTAAGTGTCCAGGCGGCCGTCGCCGAGGCCCGGAGGGAGGAAGCCGTGTTCCCGCCCGGCGCACAGCCAGTCTCACCCTCGGTCCCACCGCGTGAGGAGCCAGCCAAGCGGAGCTCTGCACGGAGACCCGAGCCGCGGTCGCCCCTCTGCAGGTGCCTGTGAGGAGGCGCCTGGGCCGCAGCCGAGTCCCGAGCCCGCCGGCCGGGCACTCGCTCTCCACGCTCCGAGGGGCGGCCCGGCTGGAGGAGGCTGTTGCGGGCCAGGCCTCAGGATGAGCCGCAGACACCTGCACGGAGCGGGCAGCGGCTGCCTGGACCCCACCGTGGCGGTGAAGAGCACGTTTGGAGCTGAATTTCGTCGGTTTTCACTGGAAAGATCAAAACCTGGAAAGTTTAAGGAGTTTTATGGATTACCGCAACATGTTCATAAGATACCCAATGTTGACATTTTAGTAAGCTATGCAGACATCCACGGAGATGTACTGCCTATAAATAACGATGCTAATTATCACAAAGCTGTTTCAGCGGCCAACCCACTGCTTAGGATTTTTATACAAAAAAAGGAAGAAGCAGACTACAGTGCCTTTGGTACAGGCACACTAATAAAGAAGAAGAATGTCTTAACCAAATTGTTTCGTCCTGACAAACAGGGAAAAAAGCCACACATAGTCATTAGTATGCCCCAGGACTTCAGACCTGTGTCTTCTATTATAGACGTGGATATTCTCCCAGAAACACATCGTAGGGTCCGTCTTTACAAATATGGCACTGAGGAACACCTAGGATTCTACATCCAGGACGGCTCCAGTGTCAGGGTGACACCCCATGGCTTAGAGAAGGTCCCAGGGATCTTTATATCCAGACTTGTGCCAGGAGGTCTGGCTCAAAGCACAGGACTATTAGCCGTTAATGATGAAGTTTTAGAAGTTAATGGCACAGAAGTTTCCGGGAAGAGTCTAGATCAAGTAGCTGACATGATGATTGCAAACAGCCACGACCTCACCATCACAGTGAGACCAGCAAACCAGAGGAATAATATCATTAGGAAGAGTCGGACTTCCGGCAGCTCTGGCTAGTCTACTGACAACAACCTTCCTGGCTATCCACAGCAGATCGAACCGAGCTTTGAGCCAGAGGATGAAGACAGCGATGAAGATTACATTATTATTGAAGACAGTGGTGTGCCACAGCAGAACCCTAAGGCTCTTCGTAACACCGAGAGCCTGGAATCATTAACACAAATAGAACTCAGTTTTGAATCTGGACAGAACGGTTTTATTCCTTCTAATGAAGTGAGCTTAGCACCCTTAGCGAGTGGCACAAATACAGAATTTGAAACGCGCGCTCCAGATCAAAAACTCTTAGAAGATGGATCATAACACTATGAAACCATCGCGTCTGAAGTTTTTCTGAGTGAGGATGCCATGGAGACTTGTAAATTTGGCTAGTGGCTAGAGCATATGTACCTCTGAACCAGTGACCTGGGACGGGCATGAAAAAAATATATTGCAAGCTTGAAATGTTATTAAAATAGTAGTTTGATAATTAATATAAACTTCAGTGGGTCAGAGGTGAATTTAAGTCTAAAACAAAGGGGCCTTTGCTAATGAAATGATGTGCTTTTGCTATTTTGTCTATAGAGAACTGGATGTTAGAGCACATTCCCAGAACTACACATAAGGACTCGATCATTTCCATTTGAAGTGGTTGCATATTTAACCTGCTGTGCAGAGCCTGGTTAATTTTTCCTTTAACTATATATCTTTTAATTCTAACGTGAAGAAGTCTGAGTCTATCTTTCGGTACTTTGGGACCTTGGCTCCTATATTCCCCATGTTGTATTTTGATTTTTTAATATTGTTCCTCTGTTGCTAATTGTAGCGAGTAACTTTTTCAAAATTTTTTTTCCTAATTTCTAAGAAATCAAATCAATTGACTGTTTTTTACGGGTTGCTTCCTAAGTTATAAAGCATTGAAGCTATGTTCCTGAATTAAGAAACTCTAACAGTTGTTCAGGTCCATGTTTGCCCATCTTGTAGCTTTCATATTTACAAACTCATTCCATTTGGGCATCACTTATGTTGTGAAAGCCAGTTCCATCGACTCTGGTTGATATGGGAGACTCTCTCCTGTAATCTCTTCTTTTTTGTTTTTGTTTTTGTTTTTGCGGTACGGGGGCCTCTCACTGTTGTGGCCTCTCCTGTTGCGGAGCACGGGCTCCGGACGCGCAGGCTCGGCGGCCATGGCTCACGGGCCCAGCCGCTCCGCGGCATGTGGGATCTTCCCAGACCGGGGCGCGGGCCCATGTCCCCTGCATCAGCAGGCGGACTCTCGGCCACTACACCACCAGGGAAGCCTCCGTAACCTCTCCTTGTCCTCATTCCAAATCTCATTAGAAATCATTCCTTTTGTTGTTTGTGGGTATATTTTGTTTGTCTGCCTTTTTACTCTTTTAATGTATTTGAGTAGTGTGAATTATTTTCGTTAAAAAAAAAAAATGCACCCAAACTAAGAGATTTTTACACACAGGACAACCTTGTGCACTTTTTATATGAAAATTTGGGGTTTTCCTTAATGGGATTTCTAGGAACACTGCCTACACTTTATGAAAGGTATGTCGTATTCGCCTTTGACAGGTAGAGTGTATCTCGATTAATTTTATGAGGCTATTTATTACTTTCCGATGCATCCACTTAGCAAGGTAAGAGTAAGGCTGCTAACTTTCGTTCCTTGCCTGGTTTCATTGTATGGAGGTGCACAGGCACTACAGTAGCTTGTATATAGAGATTAAGAATAGTATGAACTACATGAGTCCCCTGTGACTTATGGATATTTCTCTCAGAGTTATTTATTGATTAATTTTATGCTAGGGCTAGAATGGATACCTTATAACAACTGTGTGCTATTAAAACAAACAATGAAGAATCAAATGACTGTTTTGAAGGATATTTTCTCTATATGGTAAAAGTATATGAAGTAAAGTCGATTAAATGAAGCTCTCTTGACTCAGAATACTTCAATGTATTTTGCCCACATTTTACCACGAAAGATGTTATCACTAAACTGTTAACTGCACAACATTATGTAATACAGTGTACTTTTTGTTGAATTCATTGAAGTTCTTCCAGTTATATAACCACTATTTTTTAATGGCGTTCCAGGTTTAACATTCTGTTGAGTTCTATAAATTTGACTCTTGAATGGCAAAATGTTAATAAGTAGAAGGTTACATTTCATTTATAATTATAAGCGGTGCAGGGCTTCAACATTTTAAGTAAAAATATTTTCACATACTAGCTCTCTCTCTTTTTTTTTTAACAAAGTTTTAACATCAGAACTTTTCTCTTAGGGGAAGAAATACTTCAGGGCTTGACTTTTTGTACAATTTTTAACTGTAAAATATAGATTTGTCTTGTATGTATTCATGAAAATGGAAATCAAAGCTGCTAGTGCTTTTTTTTTTTTTCTCTTTGTGGTGCGCGGGCCTCTCACTGTTGTGGCCTCTCCCGTTGTGGAGCACAGGCTCCGGATGCGCAGCCTCAGCGGCCACGGCTCACAGGCCCAGCCGCTCCGCGGCATATGGGGTCTTCCCGGACCGGGGCACGAGCCCGTGTCCCCTGCATTGGCAGGTGGACTCTCAGCCACTGCGCCACCAGGGAAGCCCTGCTAGTGATTTTTAATTATCCCACTAAGGGTATATGTCAATGGTCTTTTCAACTGGATCTCTCGTTTAAATTGTTGGTGAAAGAATTGATTACTAGACGTATTGTAAAACCAACAGATCTTGGTTATACAATAAAATGTCGATTCATTGCTAGTCTGAATTATTTCAAGTGTACCTTATTAACAAAAATATCAGTGGACTCGGCATAAAATTTTATAGTACTAAATGTCAAGCTAACTGTGAATTTTGTTCTGTATCTTAAGTAAATTTATGATAATGTCCTCATGAGCTATCAACAAAATATATGTACTTTTGTGAACTATGGATTTTCTAATTAAATTTTACATGCAACATGATCTTTACATGAATGCTACTTTGTTTAACTATCAAATGTCAGTATTTTACTACAATTTTATTATAAAATGTACATTATCACTAAATGAGCTTTGATTTTAAAAATTAAATTAGCTTTCGTTGTATATTATTTTTTACAAATAAAGATAGACTTGTATAAAGGCTAAAAAAAAAAAAAATAAGTGTCCAACAGAAAGCCTAGGAGAAAAGGTTCACAACTGCATTACATGGGCCATGTACATGGGACAGCAGAACAAGAACAGGCTGGGTGACTCTTAACAGACCCTTCCAATCAGGGATCCTAGAAATACCAACTCTTTTCTCTCTGGATCCCTCCAATTCCAGGGATCCCTTTGGTCACCTAAATAAGGAACATAGAGGTTCGCAGCACGGAAAGGCATGGGACGTATCTATAACACCTGCACAGCCTTGGTTTCCTGTATCATTAGAATGAACTCTGCTCCAGGAGCCATTCCCATGAAAAAGAGTGAACATGGCAGAAACAAACAAAAACCTCACTTCCCCACCACTACCAACAGTTCAGTAATTAGACTTCCTGGGGGTCAGCTCTTCATAGAATTAAGAAGCATCTAAGCCTGCCTGAAACATCCCCGGTCTTCTACCTTCCTTGTCTGCCCAAATGTCCCTTTTACCAGTGCTGTTTGCAGCTGCACAGGACCAGGAAAGTAGCACCTCCCACTGCTGCCTTCTCCGCACCCTAAGATCCCAGCCCACGTGGGGCTGCCTGTCTGGGAAGCCACGGCTTCCAATGCTGCACCCCGTCCCTCCAATACTTCTCCCATCAATCCCAACCCACCGCCCTGCTCCGCCCGTCCCTCTCTCCTGCCTTCCCTCTTCCTTCTCCCCGTCCCCACACTGCTGCTACACTCCCTCCTTCCTCCTTTCCTTCTTTTAACGAACACTTGAGTACCTGCTAGATGTTGGCTATACCTACCTTCAAAATGTTGCTTCCAAGTTTGAATCGGTCGTCTTTTTTACAAACCTTGTTCTTCTGAGACTTTCGCCCACCTACCTGAAGGTTGGCATTGAGCTCGTCCTTCTCTTTCATTCTGTCTTCATAGGCCAGCAACAAGGGGGACAGGTACTTTGTATCCACCTGAACATAATGGAATAAAGAAGGTTAATATCTTTCTCACATCTAAACACAATCAGCACATCTTTAAATAGGAAAGAAAATATACTTCATTTGGAATGGTTTGTAACAGCCATTCAATTATAGCCCAGAAAATATGGGCCTGAAATTAAATAACTTTCACTTACCAGCCAGGGCGGTACAGGGCCCTTTGATGGGAGGCCTTCAATATTTAAACTCTAAAAACAAAACACACGGTGAAGACAAATTAAATTACACTTCCTCTGAAATTTCAAGTCTTAGCTATTCTTAACCTAGACTGGGCATCAGCTGTCTAGGAATCGTGTGTGTGTGTGTGTGTGTGTGTGTAAACTGATATATTTGTGTATATATTTATATATATATATAATTATCTGAAGTGTTTGAGAGTAATTTATACACATAATGCTCCTTTTCCTCTAAATACTTCAATGTATATGTCCTAAAAGCAAAAGCATTCATCTATTTGACCACAGTACCAGCGTAAAAATCAGGAGATCAAGACTGATTCAACACTGCATTCTAATCTATAGACCACACTGAAATGCCGCCTATTTTCCCACTGATGTCCTTTTCTGGTCAAGAATCCAATCCAGGATTCCATGTTGCATTTAGCTGTCAAAACCTTTCAGCATTTTAAAATGTGGAACATATCTAATAATTTTTTATTGGATGCCAATAAAACTTTTTCAGCGTTATGCTGTTGTCTAGATTTTGTTGTCTTCTTTTAAAGTGTTTTGTTTTCTTTTTCTTTTGTAGGCTCTTAAGTTACGCACAAAAAACGATGCTTTTGAGGCTCATCTTTTTCAGAACCCAAAGGTCTCCGGGTGCTAATTATTTTTAGCTCACAGCTCCCTGAACTTGTATCCTGCCTGGCCCCACAGAGTTTCATCCTATACATGTGTAGATTAGTGTTCAACAAAGGACTGCGAGGAACCCCATGTGGATTTATGTAGCTCTTGCCGTGGCTCCCTCCTCTCTGGTGTTCCTGCCCCACAAATCCTAGTCTCCTCTGCTTCCCCAAATCTAATCTGTCTCTTCAGTTCAGACTGCCATACTCTGCTTGCATTGCTCCACCCGGCACTGTTATCCGAGAGTGCCTCCAAGCAGAAAGCAATGTGATCATAGGGCTCATCTGTTTATCCTCCTCCTCCCCAAGAGGACACTGCTGCCTGCTGTCTGATGTCTGTAGAGAGCTGTATTATTTATTCTGCCTGGTCTTTTAGCTGTTTACAGTAAGAGGCCAAAGCTGGTAGCAGTAATTCCATCAGGGCCAGAAGCAATGGCCCTGATGGCATAATTCCTTATCCAACAAAAATTTTCTAACGCGTTTACCATCTCATGATTCATCCAGCAAACACTGAAAGCTCACTAAGCCATTGTGGACGTTACAGCACATTTCACTGTTTACAAGGATTGTATGGTTCCACACAGAGATGGGTCTTCTCACATCGCACAGGGCAGAACGTGCCTTGAGAGTGGAACAAACAGAAGGCTGCAGTGGTTGGAGAGAGAGATCACCTCTGGCTGGAGGCATCAGGGGAGACTGTCATGGAGATCGGTGGCCGCAAAGGGTAGAATGGTGTGCACATTTTGGGGGTGGCGGGTGAGGGCAGCAGCCAGTCGCTGGGCCTGCCTGCCCACAACCTTCTGAAAGAGAACTGGCTTGTTCACAGCCCTGCAGAAGGCCCTGGCCTAGGAAGCCTGTTTTGGATCATAGGACCCCAGGAACTTTAATATTTTTGTTAAAAAAAACAGTTAACATTATGTGAAGTGAAAGAAGTCAGCCACAAAAGACCACCTGTTGTATGATTCCAGTTATACAAAACATTCAGAATAGGTAAATCCACAGAAAGTAGTGGTTGCCAGGGCCAACGTGGGTGGTGGGACAGAAGGGGGCGTGACCGCTAACAGGTGTGAGTTTTCTTGTTGTGATGAAAATGTTCTAAAATTGATTGTGGTGGCGGCTGCACAGTTCTGTGAAGACACTAAAAATCACTGAATTGTATACTTTAAATGGGTGAATTAGACGGTATGTGAATTACATCTCAAAGCTGATATTTAAAAAATTTAAACCCAAGTCCTACTTCAGAAAGAAAGAAAGCAGCCCATAAAGCTGCCCTGAACTCCCAGGAGCCACGTGACAACACCGTGCACACCAGGCTTCCCCCGCCACCCCGATCCCAGTAGGAGCCAGTGAGCTGGGCGTCCTGACACCCCCACCGCGCCTCCAGCCCCACACAACCCTCACACACACGAGCCTCCAGGGCACAGACCTGAGCTGCTGGGTCCTCTTGTTGTTCCTCACAATTTTTGAGGTTTGCTCAGAACCTCAAAAATAGCGTAGTGGTTTGCTCAGTGAGAGTCTGTCGAACTGAATTCTGCAATCCTGCTTCTAAAGTAAAACCTAGTCTGTCTTCTCTCTTTACATACACATAGATTGTGAAAGGATCTCCACCTCCAAGTTAATTACACACCCATCACCCCACATATTTACCATTTTGTGGGGAGAGAACACAAGTTCTACTCTCTCAGCAAGTTTCAACTATACGGTACAGTATTATCAACTATAGTCACCATGTTATACATTGGATCCTCAGATCTCATTCATCTTGTACCTGAAAGTTTGTACCCTTTTACTTGCCTCTCCCTATTTTTCCCACCGCCCTGCCCCCCCAGCCCATGGCAGTCACCATTCAACTGTGTTTCTATGAGTTTGACTTCTTTTTTTAAGATTCCACATATAAGTGACACCAAGCAGTATAGTCCTTTATCTGGCTTATTTCACTTAGAATAATACCCTACACGTTCACCCATGTTGCAAGTGACAGAACTGCCTTGTTCTTTAAGGCTGAATAATATTCCACTGTATGTCATATGGTTTTTATATATATGTATATATATATGTATACGTGTCTGTGTGTGTGTGTATATATATATATATATATATATATAAAACATGTGACATATACCACATTTTCTTTATCCATTCATCCTTGGCTATCATAAATAATGCTGCAATGAACGTGAGAGTATAGCTATCTCTTCAAGACAGTGATTTCATTTCCTTTATATATACACCCAGAAGTGAGATTGCTGAAGGTATGGTAGTTCCGTTTTTAATTACTTGAGGAACCTCCATACTGTTTTTTATAGTGGCTGCACCAACTTACATTCTCACCAATAGTGTACAAGGGTTCCCTTTTCTCCACACCCTCACCAGAATTTCTTTTTCAAAAAAGGCACGCTAGCAGGCATGAGGTGGTCTCTCATTGTGGTCATAAGTTGCATTTTCCTGATGATTAGTGACATTGAGCACCTTTTCATATACCTGTTGCCCATCTGTATGTCTTCTTTGCAAAAATGTCTATTCAGATCCTTTGCCCATTTTCAAATTGGGCTATTTGTTTTTGTGCGATTGAGTTGTATGAGTTCCTTGTATAGTTTGGATATTAACCCTTTATTGGACATGTGGTTTGCCAATATTTTCTCCCATTCCATAGGTTGCCTTTTCATTTTGTTGATAGTTCCCTTTGCAAAAGCTTTTTTAGTTTGATGTAGTCCATTTGTTTATCTTTGCTTTTGTTGTCTTTGTTTCTGGTATCAAATCCAAAAAATCAGGGCTTCCCTGGTGGTGCAGTGGTTAAGAATCCGCCTGCCAATGCAGGGTACACAGGTTCGAGCCCTGGTCTGGGAAGATCCCAGATGCCGCGGAGCAACTAAGCCAGTGCACCACGACTACTGAGCCTGCGCTTCTATAGCCCGCGAGCCACAACTACTGAAGCCCGTGCGCCTAGAGCCCATGCTCCGCAACAAGAGAAGCCACCGCAATGAGAAGCCCGTGCACTGCAGCAAAGAGTAGCCCCCGCTCACCACAACTAGAGAAGGCCCGCACGCAGCAACGAAGACCCAAAGCAGACAAAAATAAATAGATAAACAAATAAATTTTTTTAAAAATCCAAAAAATCAATGCCAAGACCAAGGAGTTTTATGATTCAGGTCTTACATTCAAGTCCTCAATTCATTTTGAGTTGATTTTTGTGTATGGTGTACAACAGGGGTCCAGTTTCATTCTTCTGCAAGTGGATATTCAGTTTTCCCAGCATCATTTACTAAAGAGACTATCCTTTCCCCATAGTATATTCTTGGCTCCTTTGTTGACCGTATACACATGGGTTTATATCTGGGCTCTCAATTCTGTTCCATTGATCTATGTGTCTGTTTTCATGCCAACAGTACACCGTTTTGATTACTATTTCTTTGTAATATAGCTTGAAATCAGGAGGTGTGGTATCTCCAGCTTTTTCTTTCTTGAGTCTACTTTAAATATTTGAAGTCTTTTGTGGTTCCATATAAATTTTAGGATTGTTTTATCTGTTTCTGTGAAAAATGCCACTGGAATTTTGATAGCAATCATACTGACTCTGCAGGTCACTTTGGGTAGTACGGACGTTGTAACAATATTCTTTCAATCCACGAGCACAGAATATCTTTCCACTTACTTGCATCATCTTTGATTTCTTTCATCAATGTTTTATAGTTTTTGGTGTACAGATGTTTCACCTCCTTATCGCTTCTTGGTCTTTTTGCTAAGATCAAGTGTACATGTTTCACCTCCTTAGTAAATTTATTCCTAAGTGTTTTATTCTTTTTGATGCTACTATAAATGGGATTGTTTTCTTAATTTCTCTTTCCAATAGTTTTTGGTGTGTAGAAACACAACTGATTTTTGCATATTGATTGTGCATCCTGCAAATTTACTGAATTCATTTATTAGTTTTAACAGTTTTGTGGTGGAGCCTTTAGGGTTTTCTATATATAATTTCATTGTCATCAGCAAACAGAGGCAATTTTACTTCTTCCTTTCCAATTGGAGGCTTTTTATATCTTTCTTGCCTAATTGCTCCGGCTTGGTCTTCTAGTATTCTGTTGAATAAAACTGGTAAGAGTGGACATCCTTGTGTTGTCCCTGAAGGTTTCAGCTCTAGATGTAGGCTTGTCATATATGGCCTATTACTATGTTGCAGTATGGTCCTTCTACACCCGGTTTGTTGAGAGTTTTTATCATGACAATATGTTGAATTTTTGTCAAAATTTTCTGCATCTATTGAGATGATCACAGGTTTTACTCTTAATTTTGTTAATATGGTGTATTATATAGCAAGTCCCCTACATACAAACCTTCAAGTTGCGAACTTTCAAAGATGCGAACATGTGCTCCATCAACATCAGGCATGAGTGAAATTGCAGCTTGCCCTCCGTCTCCTATTGCTGACGGTCCTTCAGCTGTACCGGCTCCCACCTCCTCTCCCTCGTCCAGTCTGTGACTCTTCTTGCCTGTTCACTCCACGCCAACCCCTGTATGCCCGCTGTTGTACTGGACTACTGTACTGTAATCTTACTATATCGTAAGATTAAAAACGTTTTATTTTTTGTGTTTTACATATTGTGTGAAAAGTATTATAAACCTAGTATGGTACAGTACCATATAGCCAATTGTGTTAGTTGGGTACCTAGGTTAACTTTGTTGGACTTAGGAACAAATCGGACTTACAAATGTGCCCTCGGAACGGAACTCGTTCGTATGTAGGGGACTTACTGTACTGACTAATTTGCAGATGCTGAACCATCCTGTATCCCGTGAATAAACAGCACTTGATCGTGGTGTTTGATCCTTTCAATACACAGTCATCCCTCTCTGTGCAGAACTGGTCCTAGGACTGGCTGTGGATACCGAAATCTGCAGATGCTCAAGTCCCACAGTTGGCTTTCCAGATCCACAGTTCTACAGCTGCCAATTCAACCAACCGTGGATTCTGTAGTACTGTACATATTTACTGGAAATAAAATTCACGTATAACGCACCCATACAGTTCAAACCCATGTTGTTTGAGGGTCAACTATACTGTTGAATTCAGTTTGCTAATATTTTGTTGAGGATTTTTGTATCTCTGTTTATCAGGGACATTGGCCTACAATTTTCCTGGAGTGTTCTTGTCTGGCTTTGGCATTAGGGTAATGCTGGTCTCGTAAAATGAGTTTAGCAGTGTCTCTTCCTCTTCAATTCTTCAGAAGAGTTTGAGAAGGGTTGGTATTAATACTTGGTATGATTTCAAACAATCAGCTTAGTTCATTGATCTTTTCTAGTTTTTATTTAATTTACTTCTGCTATGATCCTTGTTATTTCCTTCCTTCTATTAACTTTGGGCTTCATTTGTTCTTTTTCTAGTTATTTGAGGTATAAAGTTAGGTTGTTTACTTGAGATCTTTCTTGTCTCTTAGTGTAGGTGTTTATTACTATGAACTTCCCTCTTGGAATTGCTTTTGCTGTATCCCATAAGTCTTGTTATGTTGTGTTTCCATTTTCATTTGTCTCAAGATGTTTTCTGATTTCTTCTTTGATCCACTGTTTGATCAGAGTAGCATGTTGTTTAATGTCCACGTATTTGTTAATTTTCCAGTTTCCTTCTTTTAACTGATTTCTAGTTTTACACTATTGTGGTCAGAAAAGATGCTTGATATGATTTCAATCCTTTTAAATCTATTAAGACTTGTGTTGTGGCCTAACATATGATCTATCCTGGAGAATGTTACATGTGTGCTTGGAGAAGGATGTTTATTCTGTTGCTTTTGGATGCAATGTTCTGTATACACATGGTCTGATGTATCATTTAAGGCCAATGTTTCCTTACTGATTATCTGTCTGGATGATCTATCCATTAATAAAAGTGGGGTATTACAGTCGCCTACTATTATTGTATGACTGTCTTTTTCTCTTTAGGTCTGTGAATATTTGCTTTATATTTTTAGGTGTGCCTATGTTGGGTTCACAAATATTTATAAATGTTATATCCTCTTGTTGGAGTGACCTCTTTATCATCTTATAATAACCTTTGTCTCTTATTACAGTCTTTGTCTTAAAGTCTATTTTGTCTAAGTAAAGCCAACCCACCTTTCTTTTGGCTTCCATTTGCATGGAGTACATTTTTCCATCCCTTCACTTTCAGTCTGTTTATGTCTTTATATCTGAAGTGAGTCTCTTGTAAGCAGCACATACATGGGTCTTGCTTTTTTATCCATTCAACCACTCTATATGTTTTGATTGGAGAATTTTAGCCCATTTATATTTAAAGTAATTATTGTTAGGTATGGACTTAATTGCCATTTTGTTCACTGTTCCCTGGCTTTCTGTAATTCCTTTTGGTTCCTTTCTTCTCTTGCTCTCTTCAAGTGTGATTTCATGATTTTCTGTAGTGTTACGTTTAGATTACTTTGTCTTTACTTTCTGTGTATCCACTATAGGTTTCTGCTTTGTGGTTACTATGAGGCTTACATAAAACAACTTATAACTGTCTATTTTAAGTTGATAACTTAAGTTTGAATGAATTGCAAAACTACATTTTTTATTCTCTCCCCATTTTATGTTTATGATGTTGCAATTTACATCTTTTTATCTTGTATATTCATCAACAAATTATTGTAGCTATATTTTTACTATCTTTGTCTTTTAACCTTCATACTAGATTTATAAGTGATTAACCCACCAACTTCACAACAACAGATTATCTTTAATTTTACTATATATTTACCTTTACCAGTGAAAATTTTAATTTCATGTTTTCCTGTTACTAATTAGTGCCCTCGTATTTCAGCTTGAAGAAAGTCCTTTAACATTTCTTGTAAGGCTGGTCTGGTGGTGATTAACTCCTTCTGCTTTTGTATGTCCTGAAAGCTCTTTACCTCTGTCTACTCCAATTCTAAAGGACAACTTTGCTGGGTAGTGTATTCTTGGTTGAATATATTGTGCTACTCCCTTCTGGTCTGCAAAGTTTCTGCTGATAGATCTTATGAGGGTTTCCTTGTATGTAACATGTTTTTCTCTTGCTGCTTTTAAGATTGTCTCCTTGTTTTAACTTTTGACAATTTAATTATAATGTGTTTTGATGTGGGTGCCTTTGGATTCATCTTGTTTAGAACTCTCTGGGCTTCCTGGATTGAGATGTCTATTTCTTTCCCCAGGGAACTTTTCAGCATTATTTCTTTAAATGAGCTTTATGCCCCTTTCTCTCTTTCCCCTCTGGGACCTCTGTAATCCACATCATGGCATTCCTTAAGCTATCTTCACTCTTTTTCATTCTTTTTACTCTTCTGTTTGGATAAATTCCACTGCCCTGTCTTCAAGCTCACTGATCCTTTCTCACACTTGCGCTAGTCGGCTGTTGAAACCCTCTATTGAATTTTTCACCTCAAGGATTATATTCTTCTGCTCTATGATTTCTCTTTGGTACTTTTTAAATATTTTCTATCTCTTCGTTGAAATTCTCACTTTGTTCATGCTTTCCTGACCTTGCTGAGCATCTTTATGACTGTTATTTTAAACTCTCTTTTAAGTAAATCACTTATCTGGATTTCATTAAGATCAGTTTCTGGAGATTTATCTCGTTCTCTTCTTTAGAACATATTCCCTTTTTTCTTCATTTTCCTTTACTCTCTGTGTTGGTTTCTGTGCATTAGAAAAAACAGCCACCTCTCCTGTCTTGACAGAGTGGTCTTGTATAGGAGATGAGTCTCATCCATCAGCCTGGCCCAAGCTCTCGGCTGCCTCTCAAACCTGTGATTGTCCAAGCTGCTGCCTTTATTCTTAGTGGTTCCCAGTAGTTGGGGATGTTCCAAGACCCATCAGAGAAAGGGAGAGTGGGAAGGAGGGAGGGAGGGAGAAAATAGAAAGGTGCTCAGAAAGACTCTACTTTGGATGTATCTTTTTTTATACCAAATTATAATAAATATGAGCCCTTTAGAATTGGAAACCAATCAACAGGAAAGGCTAAAATATCAGAAAACTGATTTTTCTTAACAGGAAACATTACCTCTTCCTTGGATAAATGCCTGAATTTTGTTTGATATCTACTCAGTTCTACATTCAAACAATGAACAGTCATTTTCAATCCCTCATTTTCATCCACCAGTTCTTGAGCTTGTTTTCTTAGATAATGTAATTCAGGTGCAGCAACTACTGAAAAATATAAATTCAATATTATACCATAAGAACTTATTTCAAATTTATCAAGATTTTATATAAATTGCTGATTGTCCTTCTTTCCCTTTTAGGCTCACAAAGGCAGTGAATGACAGATATATAGATACAAATGAATAAAAGTTACCAAGTTTTTTCAACACTGAATAGTCAACAGTGTTTTTGAAGTTTGTGAAAGTTTTTGCATGTATAATTAAGGTAAAATAAAAATTTTAGGTTGAAAAAAAGTCATTTCAGATGATAGGCAAATATGTTCCTTGAAAATTATATAGAATAAATGGAGAATTTATTACAACTAATAACTTTCCCACATAATAGTAATGTCTTATTAGAAAACGTCATAGACAAGAAATATGCAGGGTCTGTATAAAGAAAACTACAACATCTTTCTTAAGGCCATAATATTAGACTTATATAAACAGATAAATATACAGAGAAAACATTGAAAACAGTGAATATTTATATGACCTTAGCATTATTATTATTATTTTTTTAGCCGTGCCACGCAGCACGTGGGATCCTAGTTCCCAGACCAGAGACTGAACCTGCCCCCACTGCACAGTGCAAGTGTGGAGTCTTAACCAGCAGGGAAGTCCCTGATCTTAGCATTAAAAAGAACTTGACACCAATGGCATAGGTCATAACAGAAAAATATCCTATAAGTTTAGCTGAATTATCAACAAACTGAGAAAATATTACATACATGACAAAGGCCTAAAACCCTTAATATGTAAAGAGCTCCTACAAATCAACAGAAAAGATCAAAGCATCTCAATTTAAAATAGGAAAACTTATAAAAGAGAAAGAAAATGACCCACAAAGATAATGAAAAAAATATTCAACTTCATCAATAGTAAATGAATTAAACTAAAATGGGATTCTTCTTTTTTTTTTAACTTATCAAATTCGCAAGGAAAATACAATCCTCATCATTGGTAAGTATGTGGTGAAAGAGCCACTTTTATATGCTGCTCATGGGGATAAAAACTGATATGAAACATATGTACAATACTATGCTAAGAATCAAAAGAAGTATTGGAATTTTAGCATAATAATAATGACACAGCAGATGAAATCAAATTTCAACAAGTATAAGGATATTAATGAAAGACCTTAAAATCATAACAAAATATCAAGAACATTAATATCACCAAATACTGTAACATAAAATATTAACTTTCAAAATAAATAAGAAAATTTGAATTCTTGTTTGTTCCTTTAATAAAAGAACTGTGTAGTTGTCCCCACCTTCCTGAAAGGATGCTTTCTCAACTTCTTTCAGCTTTCCATTTTCTTTTTCCATCCTTTTAAGTTTTAACTGTAGTTCTTTCATTGTTTTTTTTATTATGTTAAGTTCAAGAGTAAGGGTTTGATTTGCATTGTTTAGATGCAAATTGTCTTCTTTTAATTCCTCGAACTTTTCTTTGGTTATTTCTATATGTCTTCGATGTGTTCTACCATTTACATCTAAAAAGGCACAGGAAAAAAGTTTTAAAATATTAATTGATATTTACAATTCTACATCAAAATTACAGGAGACAATTTCAAAAACCACATGAGCAACTCTTCATGTCAGTGCCTGCAAAGAGAATGGCCTATACAGCAAAGGGTGCATGGTCTGCTGAGACTACGGTGAGCAACAGGAAGAGGGATGACAGAGGGGGGAGGCAGGAGCCAGTGGAGGCTCTATACTGTTGGACATAGGATTGTACATATCATAATATGCAGAGTGGAGGTTGTATCCTGCAGGCCACCAGGAGCCAGAAAGCCTTTCAGGCAGAAGTATGGAAAGAAGAGGCTCTACTCTCAGATGAATCCCTGAGGCCAGCAGTGAAGAAACCTAACAGGAAGGAGGCCTAGCCCAGAGGCAGGGAGACCAGTCAGGAGACTCCTAGAGTAGGGATGGAGGGGAAAGGACATGAGAGAAGGATTCAGGGGCGAAAGCTCAGCAGGGCTCAAGAACTCAACTGGGTGTGGACAGTGAGGGGGGGCAAGTCAAGGATGAGCACCAAGACCTGTGGTTTGGAAGACATCTAGCCAGACAAGGGACACAAGCATGGCAGGGGAAGGGAAGCCCAGGCTAGGACACGGGCCCGGAGCTCTGAAGGCAGCCTCAGCTGGAGAGACTGAGGCGCCACCAGCACGTGGGCAGACCTGAAGGCACCTGGGTGAGAAGAAAGCCAGAGACCACGAAGGATGTTAGGAAGGAGCAGCAAGAAAGATGGAGGAAAGCAGAGAGCGATGTTCCACAGAGAGATCAAAGGAGGTGAGGGCTACGATGGGCTCCCAGCCCGGGCAGAGCTTCTGTGTGCAGATGTGCAGACAAGGACGGGAATGCTGGTAGCTCCAGACAGCCTCCCCTGACCTCTGACACACACATCCCCAACCCCTAGAACATGAAAGGAAAGTCTAAGAAATGAGTAACTCCACAGCTACACTGAAAACAAGAGGCGAGCCACCAGGAATCCTAGAAAGAAAACATTTGAGATTAGATTGAAGATGGAAGCTGCAGCCTAAAATATGCCAGGAGAGGTCAGCTACTGGAGGTGGGAGTGCTTCCAGGGATGGGCTTTGCCCTGGCAGGTAGCGGGGACACAAAGTGACCTAGAAAGGGCTGATGAGGTATCCAGTTAATGTGCCAGATGGGATCAGCAATGGTTCAAGCCCCCTGGGCCGGGTAGTACAGACAGGCTCTGAGGACAGAGGCAGGCAGGCACTGGGGCTGGGGAAACTCAGGAGGAAGAGGGACCCCCGAACCCCCTGGCTGACCACACACCCTGTCTGTCCCTGTCAGTCACTGGAGACAGGCTGTACGCCTGACAGCCCACTGGTTTCCCCCTCTGAGCAGGCTGCAGTAATCAGATACAGCATCCCCAGGCAGACCAACAGGGACTCCCAAGGACCAAGGCGAACACATCACATCACCAAGAACCATGTGAGCTAAGAGAAGCACCAAAATCAAATAACAGAGGACACAGTTGGCTGCTCAGCAACTATAAGATTTTTGAATGGGTGTAGTTAAGATTCCAGAGAGATGTTTGTCAATACTTAATAGAAATCATGGGAACAAACAGTTTCATTCACAATACAAATTCAAAGGATGGGCTGAGCAGCAGAATACATACAATGAAGAATCAACCTGTGGGCTAGACATTAGAGCCCCAGCAATATCCCAGAATACAGCAGCACCAAAAACACCGAGATAGAAAGGGTGAAAACAAAGCCAACCAGACATGGAGGATAGACAAAAGCCTTGATTCCTGATAGGATTTTCAGACTAGCAATGTGAGGCTTAACAGGAAAAAAATTACAAAATCCACCTTGAAAGCTAATGAGGCTCCTCAGACTGTAGAGGGGATAGCACCCCAGAAAGTATCTCCAGACCCCTCAGCTCTGTCTCTAGCCCCTGAGCAGAGCCCCCGTTTGCATACACCCTCCTCCCAGTGCCTGCCTATAACCCACAGGTCCACTCCCCTCCCCAGGATCTGAGCACATGCCATGGGGACATACATCCATCATCCAACGTGTACACGTTTGGACTCTCTCTTTTAAGGCAAAGGTGGAAATTCAACAAACTGCCTCCTCTTCCCAATTCTGATAATGGGACAGAAGCAACAGCCTTTACAGGAAAAAAAAAAAAGAGATCTTTGTTTTATGTGAGATTATTCTGGGTATTCGCTAGAACAATCAGCTTTTCAATCACAATGAAATTCAAAAGGCAAATACCTGGAGAGGGTGGAGGTTTTCCACACAATGATGGTTTTTCATCCTAAGGAAGAAAACAACATGAGAGTAATGAATTAAGAGTCTCAGCATCTCCTAAAAGTGGATTGGCACAAGCAGGTAGGTCATCATATATCAAATATTTAAGTACTTTTTTCCCCCTTCATTTTGGCTCTTATAGTTGCTAGTTTGTTTTAGCTTTAGAAACTTTAATATTCACTGTTTCTTTTAAATGAACCAAAACCTTAAGGGATTTCCCCTCTTGGCAGGTTCTCTGAGCAGCAAGGGAAGTCCTGCTTTCTTCCTGCCTTTTTGTCCATGAGTTCAGTGTCTTTTTTTTTTTTTTTTAATTGAAGTCTAGGTGATTTACAATATTGTGTTAGCTTCAGGTGTATAGCAAAGTGGTTCAGTTATACATATATATATTTTTCCAATTCTCTTCCATTATAGGTTATTATAAGATACTGAATACAATTCCCTGTGCTATACAGTACATCCTAGTCGCTTATCTATTTTATACATAGTAGTGTGTATCTATTACTCTCATACTCCTAAGTTTTCCCTCCCCCCATCCCCTTTGGTAACTATATGTTTGTTTTCTATATCTGTGAGTCTATTTCTGTTTTGTAAATAAGTTCATTTGTATTATTTTTTAGATTCCACATAAGTGATACCGTATAATATTTGTTCTGTCTGGCTTACTTCACTCAGGGTGATAATCTCTAGGTCCATCCATGTTGCTGCAAATGGCATTTCATCCTTTTTTCTGGCTGAGTAATATTCCTGTGTGTGTGTGTGTGTGTGTGTGTGTGTGTGTGTGTGTGTGTGTATACCACATCTTCTTTACCCACTCATCTGTTGATGGGCACTTAGGTTGCTTCCATGTCTTGGCTATTGTAAACAGTGCTGCATATGAACACAGTATCTTTGGAAATTAGAGTTTTCTCCGGATATATGCCCAGGAGTGGGATTGCTGGATCATATGGCAACTCTATTTTAGTTTTTTGAGGAACCTCTATACTGTTGTCCATAGTGGCTGTACTAATTTACATTCCCACCAACAGTGTAGGAGGGTTGCCTTTTCTCCACAATTTATTATTGGTAGTCAGTCACTGTGTTTACATGCAGGTCCCATAAGTGACAGGCCATCAGTTCACATTCTAAAGCATGTGATATGACTGTAGGTGCTGAGCAGAGATGCACAAAGCAAATTCCAACTGGCCTTTTCTCCTTGGGATATGCAAAAAGACCCCATTAGCTTCAGAGAAGCACGTTTTCAAAGCACTGAGAAGGGCTTCCCTGATGGCACAGTGGTTGAGAGTCCACCTGCTGATGCAAGGGACACGGGTTTGCGCCCCGGTCCGGGAGGATCCCACACGCCGCGGAGTGGCTGGGCCCGTGAGCCATGGCCGCTGAGCCTGCGTGTCCGGAGCCTGTGCTCTGCAACAGGTGAGGCCACAACAGTGAGAGGCCCGCGTACCGCAAAAAAAAAAAAAAGTACTGAGAAAAGAATACAACATCCTCCTTTTCAACCCAAAACTTAGAGGAAAGGGAAGTCTTTGAACTTTTGTTCATTTTTCTACTACACATCAGTCTGATTCTAAGTTTCTAATTTCTGCTGAAAAAGTAGATAAGGTTATAAATTAACTCTACTGAGAAGTCTTTAATTTTTAAACTCCTTTGACATCGCAGAATTAAAAACTTAAGTAAACTATTTCCATGTCTGCAAACTGGTTATTGTCTATTCATTCTACAAATGAAAATGTAAATGTAAGTGATTTCTAATCCCTCAATACATTACATTCATTTTAAACTATGCAAAACATGAGTTTCTTCATGTTTTAAAACTTTTTTTAAAAAAACATTCAATGGAAAAGAACTCTTAATGGAAGTTTTCTTCCCCACAAATCACAAAAGTTGTTTTGAAATTATGGTGGAAATTCTACTAATTGAGAAAATCAGTTTTTAAAAAACAATCCTTGGGCTTCCCTGGTGGCGCAGTGGGTAAGAATCTGCCTGCCAATGCAGGGGACATAGGTTCGAGCCCTGGTCCGGGAAGATCCCACATGCCTCGGAGCAACTAAGCCCATGCGCCACAACTACTGAAGCCCGCATGCCTAGAGCCCGTGCTCGGCAACAAGAGAAGCCACGGCAATGAGATGCCCGCGCACCACAACGAAGAGTAGCCCCAACTCGCCACAACTAGAGAAAGCCCGCGTGCAGCAACGAAGACCCAACGCAGCCAAAAATAAATAAATAAATTTTTAAAAAAACACACACACAAAAAAAAATCCTTACCTTTAAATTCAGAATAGAATGTTTACCATCTGATTAAAAAAAAAGAAAGAAAACTTTGTAAAGCAGAGAAAGACATCTGACAACTCAGAAGAGTACAATCTTAGGAACTCACCTTCTGCAGATGAGCTAAACCAGGCCCAGGTGGGCAGCCTTCCCAAGGCCACATGAGAAGCGGGTCCAGAGCCAGGCAGGAGCCCAACTCGGAACTGCTCATCTCTCCCCGCTGCTCGTTCCTTCAGTGGCTCACATGATTGGAGAACCAAGGCCAAACTCCTCAGCGCGACTGTGAGCCTTCTCCATCTTCCCAGCACTCCCCCTCCCAGAGCTCTCTAGCCGTCCCACCGCCATTCCCCAGATGGGCTGAAGCTGATGCCTCCCCGTCTCCCCGCCTACAGTAGCAGTCCACTCGGTCAGATGCTGGTACCTCGACCAAAGGATGTCAGGGTCCAAGCTTCTTGGCCGGGTACTGCTAGGGCGCAGAGTGGCACCTCAGGCTGACAGACTTTGAGGCTTTAGCCTTTAGACAATAATTATCAGCTAGCATTATGGAGGATGCTGTGCTTCACACATACGACTAAATTTAATCCTTATAAATTTAATCCTTATAAGAACCTGATGAGAGGTGCACTCAAACTGAGTAGAAGTGGGGTTAAGGAACTCACCAAGCCTCTCGCCACCTGGATATGACAGAACCAAAGCACTAAAAACCAGTGTTTCTGATGTGTTGCCTAAGGATCACTCACATCAGACTCTCCAAAGAGCTTGTTAAAAATACAGACCCTCTGGGGCTCCAGCCCAGATTCACTGACTCAGAATTTGGGGCTGGGGTGGGGCCTTTTCACAAGTGTCCAGGGGCTTCTAATGCCCATCACAAACCAAAAACCACTGGAGGAGCTGAACTCCCTCCCAACCACCACCTGCGTTCCCAGTTCAACAGCACCTGTGTTACCAAGTGCGCCAGTTACCACACTGCCTCTCAGCTCCAAACCCACCTTTATTGCTGGCTTGTGTTACTGCAGCAGCGCTACCTTGCCAGGAGGAGGAAGGGGCTTGGGTTCCTCATTCCAGAAGGCTATCTCCATCCTCTCTCTTTCCCTGCGTTCCTCTTTTTCTCTCCCCTCTCCTCCTTTCTTCCCTCTTTCTAGGTGGCCAGCAGCACTTCCCCATGGGTGGCTTCTCCTGAAATTCCCCTGGAGAGGGCAGCTTTCCAGCGAGTTCTGTTAGCAACACACCTCGGCTAACTTCTCCACCCGCCAGTGGGCCACAGCTGCACCCTCTCCAATGTCTGCATTGGAGATTCTCCAAATGTTTCTTCTCTTGGGGGCTCTCTGTTAACAAAAGAGGGAGCAGCTGTTCTCTCTATCTGCTATTCCTGCATTCTTTAGATTTCTCTCTACCCCTTAGTAGGCAATCCTCTTATAGTCAATAATTCTTTACATTAAACTTTCCTTTTTCAAATCACCATATACATTCTGTCTACTGATTGGATTCTGACTGATATATAACACATCAGGCCACAGACAACACAGACATTAGAAAGTGGATGGACATGTATGAACACAGAGATATTCAGGATGTGTTATGATTTTTTAAAAAAGGCAGGTAATAAAATAACATACATTTTATTCACATACGCATTCGAAGTTGTTAAAATTGTACTCTATGGGAGTACAATTATGTGTGTTTAACCTCCTATATTTCTGCATTTCAGTTCGTTTTTTTTTTACAGTGAGAAAATATTAATTCTGTAATTTAAAAAGAGATACGGGCTTCCCTGGTGGCGCAGTGGTTGAGAGTCCGCCTGCCAATGCAGGGGACACGGGTTCGTGCCCCGGTCCAGGAAGATCCCACATGCCGTGGAGCGGCTGGGCCCGTGAGCCATGGCCGCTGAGCCTGCGCGTCTGGAGCCTGTGCTCCGCAACGGGAGAGGCCACAACAGTGAGAGGCCCGCGTAAAGCCAAAAAAAAAAAAAAAAAAAAAAAAAAGAGATATACTTTTTACTTGAATTGAATATACACGTGGATTTCCCACAGGGATAAAGTATGCTGGCCTAATCAATTGGCGTTTTCTGGCACAGGTATTAGTAGGCTGGCCTTCTGTTTGTCAATCAGTCCCCTTGTGAACTGACCTACATGAGAGTTTTCTTGAGCCTAAGCAACTCTGAGGGTCCTGATAAAGCAGTGACTGGTGCCCATTGTATGCCAGGCTCTCCTTCTCACTTCCCAAACATAAGCCACCTCTTAGGAAACGGAAAACCTTTGTTATTTAATGTGCTGAATTCTCTCACTGTGCCAAATGAAATGTACAAGGATGCACTATTGCAAAGTTGTATTATAAACATGTCCCTGCACTCTTTCATCCAAAACACCTGTAGTCACAGCCTGCCATGGGCCAGGACCCTGATCCAGGCACTGGAGCTAGCCTGGTGAACAAGACAGACAAGCTCACTCGCTCATCCTGGGGAGACCACTGGGTACCCGCCTCTCACAGCGCTAGACGTGGGGCGCAGAGAGGAAGGAGCGTGTGGAGCTTCAGAGCCTGAGCCCTGACCCTCCACCCCAGGGGGCCTCTCTCGGCTGCCGGAACTGACAAAATGGACCCCAGTGTGAGGGCCTCAGGCTTTAAAGATGACCTAACACCCGGGCAATCAACTATTTTCACTGTAACCCAGTGAAAACAAAACTCAGGGATATTCCCACTTAAAATCATGGAACCACAGTATGAAGGTGCAATGGCTACATGTTCCCCCAAGTTAACCCATATTTATTGCCACAAAATGCTTTTAGATATTAAATTAAAAAAAATTTTTTTTACCTTTTTCTTGTGTATGCTCTGGTGGAACAGGTGAGCCTGGAAACCCATCTTGTTCAGAAATATTTTCCTCATCTCCACTGTCCACCCCATGTGACGATGGAACCTTTTTGTTACAAAAGACAAAGGAACAGCCAACTATGTGATAAGTGCTTCTGTATCAAATTTCTTCCCAACAAACCCAAACGTCTTATTCCACACCTTCTCCACTGCTCTTTCCTCTCTAAGACATAAAAGGACCGCATCTGGCAGGGCTGGATGAAATCTCGGGTCCCTCAGGAGAAGCCCAGTGGCAAAGGCAATGCCGTCCAAATTATGCTTAAGCCATTGAGAACTTCACAGCCACTCCCACCCCCCCAATGCTACCTGGGCAGCTCGCCTTCCCCATTCCTGCCAGGGACCAACTCAGGAAAAGGGGCTGCCTCTGGCCTGCTCTGCATACTACCCAGTACCACCCTGCCTTGGTACTGATGCTGTGTATTCATCTCTGCATGGGACAAGACCTGCTGACGAGCCCTGTGAGAGCCCTCATCCAGGCAACTGTTTGGGATCGAGGCCCATTATGCTGGCTGGCTGTGAGTCCACTGTGAATGTTTCCTGATGGAATGGAACTCTCCCCTGTGCTGTCTGTGAGCATCTTCTACGTAGGTATCATGAATGGTGGCAGGGCTGCAGAGCTGCCCCTCACAGACCTGTGGGCCATGACTGGGACCTCCCCTGATGAACAGGAGACCACCCCACTGGCAGGGCTCTGGGAGGTGGGGACAGAGGCTGCCCAAGGGGAAGTGCAGTGAACCATGTCTTGTACAAAAAGCTGCGGCTGGTGTTCCCTGGCTGGCTTCCCTTCCGCTACACTGAATAGTGTCTTGCGCATGTGGTCAGCTCGGCTTAGCCGTGCTGTGCAGCAGGCTGTGGAAGGGCCATCCCCATGGCTGGCAGGGAGGGGGAGAACTCACTGGCAAGATGCCCCAGAGAAGGGGCATTTCAGAGCCAGAAGCTAAGGCTAGGCCCGCCAGGCTCTGGGTACAGGGCTCCAGGGCGACCCGGCTCAGGGCAGCAGAAAGGTCTCCCACTCCGCTCATCATCTGAAGGGATTAAAAAGAAATGACCTCTTAGGTTTTGTCTCCTAGGGACCCATCTGCCTTGCTCACCCTATCAAAGATATATTATGCTACTCACTTTTATCAAGGAAATACGAAACTGCTATGGCTTCCCTGGTGGTGCAGAGGTTAAGAATCCACCTGCCAATGCAGGGGACGTGGGTTTGAGCCCTGGTACAGGAAGATCCCACATGCCGCGGAGCGACTAAGCGTGCACCACAACTACTGAGCCTGCGCTCTAGAGCCTGCGAGCCATAACTACTGAGCCCACGTGCCACAACTACTGAAGCCTGTGTGCCTAGAGCCCGTGCTCCGCAACAAGAGAAGCCACCGCAATGAGAAGCCCGTGCACCGCAATGAAGAGTAGCCCCTGCTCGCTGCAACTACAGAAAGCCCGCGCGCAGCAACAAAGATGCAACGCAGCCAAAAGTAAATAAATAAACTAAAAAAAAAAAGAAAATGCTAAAGATACCCTATTATGGAAAATAATGTTTGGCAGCATCTACTAGCACTAAGACTGATCGTACATATGCCCTATGACCATACATATATCACTCATCAGTATATGTGAGCGGTACAGACCCACCAGAAATATACATATATACACACAAATGTTCATAGCAGCACTATTCCTAAAAGCCCCAATCTGGAAACAACCAAATATTCATCTTCAGTAAAATGAATAACTAATTGGATGTTATAATTGTACAACTGGATATTATACAGCAATAAGAACGAACCAACAACTGCTACACGCAATGACAGAAGACTCAAAAACTCCAAAGAATACGTACTGTATGATCAAAGTCATAGAATCCTCAGAATAGGCAAAACTAACCTACGGTGATTTTCTAAGATCCAGTCTACTCTTGGAGTCAGGGCAGTGGTTAACTCTTGGGGAGTAGTGAGTCCTCTCGGTCACAGAGGAGGACTTCTGGGGTCCTAGTAGTGTTGTTCTTTTTCTTTTAATCTGGATGGGGGCTACTTTGTAAAAATTCACTGGGCTGTACACTTATGGCTTATATGCCTTTTGTGTATATTTCATACAGCGATAAGTAAGCCTAAAGAATTTGTGACAATATTCTAAAAACACTCTAATATAAAAGTTTTAATTTAAAACATTTTTTAAACTTTTACATACTTCTGAGTACGAAAATCACCTGGTTACTAAAACAAAAATTGTTTGGGTACTGAAGGAAGGGAGGAAGAAGCCGGCCAACTCAGCCACAGTGCTGCCATCAGGGATGCCAGGAGTGGCCTTTCCCTCATCCGTCTGTAGCCCTGGCCTAACCTCCTTCATCCTCCTCCTGGTTAGGACACTAACTCAGATTTTAAAGGGTAAAATGTACATGCTAGAATTTACAGGGTAATTATCAGAAAAGAAAACAAGCCAGTATAATTTGCAAACTAGTAGAGGGAAAGAAATAGAACTAAAAAAAATCATCAATCCAAAAGAATGGAAGAGGAAAAGAGATACAGAGTAATAGGACAAGTAGGAAAAATAAAGATGGCACATTTAAACTCAAATATATCCATATAAAATGTTAAACATAAAAGAACCAAATGGTCCAGTAAAAAGACAAAGGAAAAGTTGGTCAAACTTGGTTAACAAAAACCATATGCTGCATTGAATTGTAAACATTAAATGGATGAATAGTATGTATGTGAATTATATCTCAGTAAACTTAAAAAAAAAAAACCAACTAGATGCTATTTACAAGACAGAGCTAAACATAAGGATATAGAAAGGTTAAAATTAAAGGATGGATTGGGAATTCCCCGGATATCCAGTGGTTAGGACTTGGCGCTCTCACTGCTGGGGCTGCGTGTCATGGCCAAAAAAAATTAAAGGTTGGAAAAAAATAGACCACGCAAATATCAAACAAAAGAAAGATGGAGGGGACTTCCCTGGTGGCACAGTGGTTAAGAATCCGCCTGCCAATGCAGGGGACACGGGTTCCAGCCCTGGTCTGGGAAGATCCCACATGCCTCGGAGCAACTAAGCCCGTGTGCCACAACTACTGAACCTGCACTCTAGAGCCTGTGAGACACAACTACTGAAGCCCGCGCGCCTAGAGCCCGTGCTCCGCAACAAGAGAAGCCACCGCAGCGAGCAGCCCGCGCACCGCAGCTAAGAGTAGCCCCTGCTCGCTGCAACTAGAGAATGCCCATGCGCAGCAACGAAGACCCAATGCAGCCAAAAATAAATTTAAAAATTAATTAGAAAAAGAAGAAAGATGGAGAATGTCAGATGAAATAGACATTAAGGCAAAAAACCTCTTTAGAGATAGAGAGGTTCACTTCATAGTGACAAACTGTTCAATATACAAGGAAGATATAATTTTAAATTTGTACACACCTAAAAATGTAGTCAGGTGCAAAATAATACACGTTCTATGATTCCATGAATATAAAGCTCAAAACTATGCAAAGCTAATCTGTGACATCTTCTCTTACTTGGAGGTGAAAGCAAGATGCTGGAAAACCTGGCAACATGGCAAAGAAGCTGCAGCGTCTAGGTTCCTGTGACTGTGGGGCGAGCCAACTGTAAGAGCCAGCGGTGATTAACCCTGAGGACGCGTAGGGTGCAGCCCCAAACGGCACTGGCACCTTCCCAGATGCCCCACCTCAGATCAATGATGCCAACCTAAGAACCCCAGCCCAAAGGGACAGACACTAGTGGTGGAGCAACAGAAGGGTTCAGTTAGCTCCACCTCAGGGTAAAGTCCAGGCAAGAGTGTGGTCAGATTGTGCAGCGGACCAAGGACTAACTCTGGGAGGGGCAGTTTTGATCTGTAGGGTAGAGGGACCGCGCGGGCCTGCACTGGGACCTTTGTAAGTCCGACAGCATGCTGGACCTCCCCTGGTTTGGTACGCTATGGTAAGGGAAATAAGCGTTTGTGAATCCACGCCTCCTCACTGCTGCATGGAGGAGACCCCACCGCTGGAAGATGGCAGGGCTCACTCTTGGTGGCTTCTGCAAATTGGCTGGAGTGACAGCTTGGTGCCTGACTTGAGATCCTGGCCTTCTACCTCCACCAGTGTGGGTCCAGCTCATGCAGAGGTGCTTGCATTGGTAGAGCAGAGTCAATGGTCTACACGTGCATACACTAACCGTGGACATTCCTATCCGCACAGGGATGTGTACGTGTAAATGTGGACAGGGAGACTGCAGGCACCGCAGCCCACCCGGCAGTCAGGGCCCCGCTTCTACCTTGCTGAGAGAACCCTGATTTTGTTCAGTGCAAGTGGGCTCAGCCCACAGTGATAGTGACCCTCTTCCCCTTAGCCAGTAATTGGCCAAGGGATGGGCATGTGACCAGTGAGCCTCCTGCTGGGAGGCTCCCAGGAAAAAATGTTCCCCGTAATGAACACAGTGCAGCCTGAAGGACCTTGCCCTGCTTCCTCCTGTCTGCAGGAAGAACTCGCTGCATTTGATGACCACAAAGAGCAGGCCAAGAGAATCTCAGGTGCCAGCCTTTGACAGGCAGCTGAAACAATTTGGAATCTCCTACCTTTTGATTTTGTTATGTGAGAGAGTTAAAGGTCTATTATTTAAACCTTTTGTTTGCCTGTTTGATTATCTGTAGCCAAGAAAATGATACAGACATCAAAGTGACCGCAGAGGCTTGTCCTGGAGAGAAGAGGAGGGACGGAACGGCAGGGTTTCAGGGCAGTGTTTGCTTTACATGCAGTATGAAACGTTTTTATAAGACATGGGGATTCATGTATACTTGTGTAACGGAAAGAAACTTTTAAAGAAATTAAAAACTGTGGAGAGAGAAGGGGGACAGTCCTAATCCTCAACCACAGCAGCAGAAGATTCCCTACTACTCCTTGGCCTCCAAAAGTTTCTAGAGATAACTGGTTTACCCCTGCATGAATGATTCCTCTCTGGATCCAAGGACATGGCGGACACTCAAACATTCGTTGGTTGGCAGTTGGCTGGATGAATAAATGAACAACATGAATGAATATATGATATCTTATGACAAGATGCTCTGCAAATCCACAAACACAACAAGAGCAAGAATGTGTGACAGAGGAGCTTCAGTAACATCCTATCGGTGACTTCTTGAAAATGGTAGCAGGCAATTAGACTACACTCTCCTCCCTTAAAACCTGTTGAAATCAATTGAAAGAATGAAAAGAAAAAATGCAAGCAAGCTTAGTCAATGGCCAGAAAACAGCTACCAAACCTATGAAATGTGGAAGAGAGGGAGAATGCCAGAAGCCGCCAAACTTCCTCAGACGTCAGGTATGCAGATGCTCCGACAGTCACAAACTGTCACTTTGTTGCAAAGGTCCACAGTGATCCTCTGACGGGTGCACTGAGAGCAAGGATGTGATGGTCCCCGGAGACGTACAGTAACTCCCACAGGGCAGAAGGGAGGGCGGGCGAAGCTAAAGGGAGACACTTGGGAGAGCCCACCTTTGCCATCCAGAATCCAGCTCTATACTCTCAAAGAAGTTAGACAGCACAGTCTGACATGAGGAACCCAAAGAAGAGATCCAGGAGATCAGGTAAAGTGATAAGGCAACAGAAAGATGTGTGAAGTAAATCAGCAGAACTCACAAAAACAAAAGGCAAAATAAAACCACTACAGAGGTAAAAGCTATACGAGAAGCCATAAAACATAGTGACCAAGTGCTGAGAGAGATGAGGACAGACAGAGTAAATCACACAAAGTGAAGCTGAAAAGGAAATGGAGGGACAAGGGATCACAGAAAACATAATAGACATGGAAGACAAAGGATATCCGACCAACGCATAACTAGTGCTCCCGACGGAGAAGACAGTGAGCGGATGATGAAACCAAAGATAAAATAAAAGAGGGGAGGAAACATTCCCTGAAAATAAAAAGGGGAGATGAAAATCTATGTCTGCAGAATTAAATTATATGCACTAAATTTCAGGAAAAAAGGACAGAAAATAATAAACACCACGATTAATCCTGGTGATATTACTGAACTTCAAAAGATAAAAGAATGAACCTACAAAGGTATCAGGCAGCAAAATCAAGTGACCTCAAAGGGGAGCAGAAAGGCCTTAACTCGTTCTTTGCTGTCACTCTCAGCAGTCCCCTCAGAAAAGGTTATGTGGTCTCATGCCACCGTGTGCCCTCCCTTTAAGTAATTATTAATTGTGTGACCACGGACTCTGTCTTATGCTGATTCTCCAGCACCGAGCACAATACCTAGTACTCAATCAGATGCTCAACAAGTAAGTGGTGAATTACTTACCTACCCGAAGACAGTTTCCTCCCTAACACAGTCCTTTATAAGATGAAGAAGCTGAGGCACAGAGACATTATCAGACCTCCCAAGTCACACAACTGGGAACTAGAGAAGCTGGGACTTGGACTCAGGTCTCTGTCCGTGGCGTTGCTCTTTCCACTGGGCCCTAGTGTTGTGGGAACTGACCACACGTTCACGCACCCCACTTCCCTTGCAGCCTTACTTTTGGGTGGCATCAACAAGACAACTGCTGAAAACAAGACTTGCTTTCCATTTGTTAGGCCATTTCTGAGTGGGTGCACACCTCACATGAAGATGTTTGCCCAAACTACCCTGAAACACAGAGAGAGGCATGAGGTAGAGACTTATATCCAAATTGCCTGATGTGGGTTGTTCTGTTTCCTTATCTTACTAGTTTCGATAAAAAAGAATAAAATTGTAAATTATTTACCTGAGATTATAGAATGTCTACAGTAAAAATAACGAGGGCAATTTTACTTTTTTTTTTTTAATTAAAACATCCCCCATTGGCAGTATCTCCTTCAGAGCTAGCGCCATCTAGTGATGAAACAGCAGTTTTACACGCTGCACACATCTATTCTTTTCAAAGATATGTATTTTAATCATATGATAAATTTAAGACTACTTGGTCAGTTTGAAAAAAACAAAAAAAGCTCTATGTCTAAGAAATATTCTTGATAGGCACAAGGATTGTAAACACAAATTTTAATTCTAAACAGGGAAAAATGGGTTGCCCTGATCTGAATCCAGCCTCTGCCACTGGGTGGATGGTTGGATGATCTTGGGCAAGTTATTTATCCTGTTTCTTCACACACTTACCGCCAGGGGCGTGAAGTAAACGAAATGGCACGTGTGAGCTGCCTAGCAAATATCAAATGCTCAGAAAAGGTCAATGTGTCTTCCTCCCCCTATTGTATTGTAAGGCTGTGGGAAACTGAAATCCCCTTCCAGCTTAAGGGCCCCTTCATTCATGCCATCTGCAACCGGCCAGGACAATGTTCAGGTTATGATAAGGCCTTGCAACTGCAATCAGTTACTAATACTCCACCTCCGGCTCCTGGGCTGTATAGGGAAAGGCTTTCCTGTTGGCTGGGATGTACAGAAAGGTGGAGACCGGCACGCACATACTGCTGCTGGGAAGGCAACTGGGAACCACTGCTTTGGAGAACAATTCGGCAATAACTAGTGTGAAGAAGCACACATAGGTACACGTACCAAACGTGCAAAGGAATAACCTAAATGATCATCAGGAGGTGAGTAGACAAATAAATTAACATGTATCCATCTCAAAACTTCAATGCTGAGTGAAAAAGCCGAGAGGTGGAAAGATTGATTCAGTACGGTGACCATTGTACAATTAAAAACATATATAGGGCTACCCTGGTGGCGCAGTGGTTGAGAGTCTGCCTGCCGATGCAGGGGACACAGGTTCGTGACCCGGTCTGGGAGGATCCCACATGCCGCGGAGCGGCTGGGCCCGTGAGCCATGGCCGCTGAGCCTGTGCGTCCAGAGCCTATGCTGCGCAACAGGAAGAGGCCACAGTAGTGAGAGGCCCACGTACCGCAAAAAAAAAAAAAAAAAAAAAACAGACTTCTAGAACACATCCCAAATCCAGGAGAAGATGGCTATCCAGGGATGGAGCAGATGGGAGACAAAGATTTCAACCCTAAGTGTAATTTTCTTTCTTTTATTAAAAAATCTGAAGCAAAAAACCCCAAAAAACGAGAAACAAAAGATAAGATGTCAATACTTGTTCATTCTGGAGCATGAGAACACTAATGTGCTATGCTATTTTCTGCTTCTCAGTTGCGGGGGGCTGGGTTATAGAAAATGTACGTGTTCAGCTCTAACAGACAGTGCCGAGCAGCTCCCCACAGCGGTGGCGTCAACTCCGCTCCGGCGGCGTTAGAGAGCTCCTCCACACCCTCACCAGGCCTCGCCAGTGTTTGTTGCCTTGCTCTACTTTTCAAGTGTTTAAATAAAAGACATTTCCGAGACTTCCCTGGCTGTCCAGTGGTTAACACTCCGCACTCCCAACACAGGGTGCGCTGGTTCGATCCCTGGTCGGGGAAGTAAGATCCCACATGCCGCACGGAGCGGCCAAAAAAAAAAAAAAAAAAAAATTCCATACTGCACATGGGTCCTAGAGCCACCATGACACACTTGCCTGGAAAAGAAACTATCTGTTCTGTTAACGACAAAGGAGGTTGTACAGGTCACTATAATCTCTCTCCTCTGAGGGAAATGTGGTAGCGAGCTTTACTTCCAAAATAGTTGAGTGATACAGCTCTATCTGTAACCTGGGTCCAACATACTAGCCAGGAAGTGTGCAGACAGAGGGGCAGTGGGAGCTCACACAGGCCTGTTAGAGCCCCGCAGCAGACCTCCTTGGGTTCTTGGCAGCTGCCTGCCTGTCCAGTGCTCCTTGCTGTAGAGAAACCTAACTCTGCATGTTAAAGTCTTTATATGCTAGAAAGTGATGGTTAGTTTCTGAAATACTCACATAAGGATTCCTCAAAATAAGTTCCCTGACGTCACTTAAAATGTGATTCAATATAGCGGAGGATAGTCAATATATTCAATCTGTATATATTATAGTTGGATGTTACAAGTCTATAAGTATACTCACTACAAATAACACATTATAGTGATGGTGAAAAAGAAGAAAGCGAGAAAGGAAAAAGAAATTGTGGTGCTGTCCTTTGCCGTTAAAGAAATGGCGCTATCCAGTTTCCAAAACCCTGGGAGCAGAGTGTTTAAACCAGGGCACGCAGGCAACGGTGGAGAAATGGGCTCCTTCAACCTCTCTGAACCTCGGCTCCCCCATGTGTGATGGGGCCGTAGACGGAACCTACGTCAGCGAGACAGCAGGAAATCAATGCATGTGAGAGTTTGAGTTACAGACTCACACAGGGTAAGCACTCAAAGAACGTCTGCTGCTAAGGAGAGACGAGTGACCATACTCCTCTTGTCAGGCATGAATCTGAAGAAACGTTGCAATGTACACATCGATACAGAAAAGTGACAGGAAAATTAGCTTTGGGGGGTCAAAGGAAAGAGCAGGATGACCAGCATCGGATGGAAAGCTACATTAAGAATGTGGAGATGGGGCTTCCCTGGTGGCGCAGTGGTTGAGAGTCCGCCTGCCGATGCAGGAGATGTGGATTTGTGCCCCGGTCCGGGAAGATCCCACATGCCGCGGAGCGGCTGGGCCCGTGAGCCATGGCCGCTAAGCCTGCGCGTCCGGAGCCTGTGCTCCGCAACGGGAGAGGCCACAGCAGTGAGAGGCCCGTGTACGAAAAAAAAAAAAAAAAAAGAATGTGAAGATGTTTATCTCTGTTTTTGAAGGACTTGTCTTGAAAGATAAAGGAAAGAGTTTTGAACTTTAGCCTAACAAGACAGAAAATGAGACTGGACATGCTGAAAAGAAATAAGCCCCCAAACAAAAGCCATTAACTGCCGAAGAGAGAAAAGGAAAATCCTCACTAATGCCCTTGACACAACTGACTATGAGTTAACGTCAAGGTGCAGAAGAAACGCTGGAACGATGCAAGCACCTGATTTCTGTGTGGCACGGCATACACGGCGTCGCTGACGCTTCCCTCTTCTTTGTGAGCGCTTGTGTCCCCCGACTCCCTGTGGCTGCCTGACAGGTACGTGTCAGAGTCCTCTTCCTCCTCGTAGCCCAGCATTTCAAAGGATGGCAAAGAGGATCTTCTTCCCGTCTCATTCTGCCTATGTGGTCTGTATTAGAACAGTCAAGAGCAAAAGAAACAAACAAGCCACTTAATGCTTCACATAGGTTCATATACGTGTATTAAATGCACTGCCTCAAGTTCCACTGTAAAGTATTACGACCACATTACGAAATATACAGAAGCTAAAGGGTGATATCATCCACAATTCCATCTCTTTGTACACTGTTAGCATTTCTTTCTAGCTTTTCACCTAGGTTTTTATAGTTATTATCACTGCATACATATACAATTTGCCTCCTCGTTAACAAGTTTTTAAAGTCAAAAGGTTAGGTTCATACACCAGTTTTATCACCCGTTCCCCTTACTTAGGTTTTTTCCCCCAATTTTCACCATCATAAATAACCCTGTAATGAATGTCAATGTGTAGCAAACCTCTTCTGTATTGAGGATTAGTCCCATAAAACAAACAACCATGTGGAGAACTGCTGAGTCAAACCGTATAAACACACACACACACGGAAAGTACACCACCAACAGCAGGAACGTTTCGTGGGTCCACAGGCGTCCGCGCAAAATCGTTTCCCCAGCCTGCAACTATGTTGGTAACAATTTTCTAAAACTTGCCGAAATCATTGAAATCTCACTGTAAAAATGTGCATTTCTTCCTGAGACTGGATATTTTTCCATGTATTTGGATGTGAGCCCTGGTTCCTCTGCTGTGAATTGTCTGCTCATGGCCTTTGTCCATTTATCTACTCTGCCTGTAGTACGTCCATTCCAATATGAAATTAACGTTTCCATCTACTAAAATTAAAACCCTGACTTTGTTTTTACTATAAATATTTTTCCTACTCTATTGATCTTATTTTGACTGTAAATTTTTTTAACATACAGATGATTAAAAAAAAATTTTTTTTTTAACCTTCCAAATTCTTAGCTCGGAAGTACACAGCAGGCACCTCTGTCTGAGAGGCTTGATGAGATTGGGTATAGGATTTCATGGTCTTCTTTCTTTTTTTTTTTTTTTTTTTTTCTTTTTCCGGTACGTGGGCCTCTCACCGTTGTGGCCTCTGCCTCTCCCGTTGCGGAGCACAGGCTCCGGATGCGCAGGCTCAGCGGCCATGGCTCACGGGCCCAGCCGCTCCGCGGCATGTGGGATCTTCCCGGATCAGGGCACGAACCCATGTCCCCTGCATCGGCAGGCGGACTCTCAACCACTGCGCCACCAGGGAAGCCCGGTCTTATTTCTATGTATATAAAAATTAATCCTTTCATTCAATAAGAATTTGTTTTGGTGTATGAATTAGGAAAGGCTCAAAGCTGATTTTTTTCTAATACTGCTAATGAATATACTGTTGAATCCTTTCCCTTTATCTGTGGGGCTGCCTTTATTAAAGATTCAATATGCCTGCAAACACGAGGCTCACCTCAGGGTGTTCACGTGCACCTCTCTATCACTGAACCAGCACTCCTCTACTTTAACTACTTCAACTAAATGTTTTAAAATATGATGGGGCTGGGGCTTCCCTGGTGGTGCAGTGGTTAAGAATCTGCCTGCCAATGCAGGGGACAGGGGTTTGAACCCTGGTCCAGGAAGATCCCACATGCCGCAGAGCAACTGAGCTCATGCGCCACAACTACTGAGCCGGTGCACCACAACTACTGAAGCCCGTGCACCTAGAGCCCATGCTCCACAA